TCGAAAAATCTACGAATCGGAAAACGAAAAAATTGAATAAACGAAAAAGTTCCAAAAACCAATAACTGAAAAATGGAAAAATTTTACAATCGTAAGATTAAAAACGTGAAAAAGTTTAAAAATTATTATTAGATACATATTTAAAACGAAAACTGGAGAAATTACAAATCGCAAACTGAAGAAACGAACAATTTTTAGTTCTGTTTCATTCCCTTTGTGATCAATGTTCCTTTCTATGTCATAATTCTTCATTAATTTTTTCAGCCTTTGATTTTTCATATCGGAGATTTTCAAATTTTTTAAATTTTCAATTTTGCAATTTTTTGATTTTTCAATTATCCAATGTTCCAATTAGTTTAATTTTCAATATTTCGATTTTCAATGTTCCTTTCTATGCCATAATTCTTCATTAATATTTTGAGCCTTTGATTTTTCAAATCGGAGATTTTCAAATTTTTAAAATTTTCAATTTTGCAATTTTTTGGTTTTTCAATTATCCAAATTTCCGATTAGTTTAATTTTCAATATTTCGATTTTACAATCATTGTTTTTCTTTTTAAGTTTCTCAGTTTTTAATTTTTCGGTCTTTCAGTTTTTGGTTTCTTCAATTTTCATGTTCTTGGTTTCCAGTTTTTAGATTTTTCAAAGTTTTCGTTTTATACTTTTTCGTCTTTTAATTTTTGATTTTTCTATTTTTCAATTTTGCAAGCTTTCATTTTTTTTTATTCGAAAAACTGAAATATCGAAAAATTGATATATTCATAAATTGAAAAATCGAAAGAAGAATCGAAAAACTGAAAGATCCAGAAACAGAAAAGTCGAAAAATCGATTAATCGAAAAATCGAAAATTTAAAAACGTCAAAAATAGAAAAACTGGAAAATCGAAAAATTGAAATACGTATCGGAAAATTGAGAAATTGACGAATCGAAAAATTAAAAATTACAAAATTAAAATAACAAAAAATGAAGTCATCGAAAAACTGAAATCGAATTACTGAAGAATAGAAAAATTAAAAAAGTGAAAGATTTAAAACTCAAATAACAAAAAATTGAGAACTCGAAAGCTGAAAATTGGAGAAATCGAAAATTCGAAAAATTGTTATAAAATGTTATTTTTTGTTGCAAAAATCTCGAAGTTTAGGATAAAAATTCAACACGGATTTTTAAGTCCTAAAAATTTGGACGTCTAGGGTAAAAACTCGACACGGATTCATGAACCACAACTGGAGAGTACATTATTTTATACAAATTTTTCGTGCTCTATGGGTCATGAAACGTCCAGAAAACATGGAAGTCAGCAGTCGGCCAATGGACTCAATTACTCTTTTCATGTGTTCCATTTTTTAACGTTTCTTTCGATTCTATGATTTTTATTTTTTCCTTTTTTTTTTGTTTTTTCGTTTTTTTCTTCGATTTTACCATTTTTAATACCACAATTTTCCGTTTTTTAATTTTGCCATTTTTCAATGTTGCGCTTTCATGATTTTTCATTTTGCAACATTTATTTTTTCAATTTTTCAATTTCTCGATTTTTATTATTATTCATTTTCCCGATTTACTAATTTTTGTTTTCTCGATGTTGTGCCATAATTTTTAGTTCTTTTTCATTTCCTATGCGCGTTCAATGTTCCTTTCTATGTCATTATTCTTCATTAATTTTTTCAGCCTTTGATTTTTCAATTCGGAGATTTTCCAATTTTTTAAATTTTCAATTTTGCAATTTTTTGGTTTTTCAATTATCCAAATTTCCGATTAGTTTAATTTTCAATATTTCGATTTTACAATCATTGTTTTTCTTTTTAAGTTTCTCAGTTTTTAAATTTTCGGTTTTTCAGTTTTTGGTTTCTTCAATTTTCATGTTCTTGGTTTCCAGTTTTTAGATTTTTCAAAGTTTTCGTTTTATACTTTTTCGTCTTTTAATTTATGATTTTTCTATTTTTCAATTTTGCAAACTTCAATTTTTTTTATTCGAAAAACTGAAATATCGAAAAACTGATATATCTATAAATTGAAAAATCGAAAGAAGAATCGAAAAACTGAAATATCCAGAAACAGAAAAGTCGAAAAATCGATTAATCCAAAAATCGAAAATTTAAAGACGTCAAAAATTTAAAAATTGGCGAATCGAAAAATTAAAAATTCCAAAATTAAAGCAACAACTGAAGTACTGGAAAAACTGAAACTGAATCATTGAAAAATTAAAAATTAAAAAAGCGAAAGATTTAAAAATCGAAAAATTGAAGAAGCAAATAACTGAAAATTCCTAAAATTCAAATAACAAAAAATTGAGAACTCGAACGCTGAAAATTGGAGAAATCGAAAAATCGAAAAGCCGAACAATTCAAAATTCGAAAAATTGTTATAAAATCTTGATTTTTGTTGCACATGAATGAAGAAATTTGGATATCTAGGGTAAAAATTTAACACGGATTTATAAACCACAAATGGAGGAGTACATTATTTTATATTTTGTACACATTTTTCGTACTCTATGGTTCATGAAACGTCCAGAAAATATGAAGGTCGGCAGTCGGCCGATGGACTCGATTAATCTTTTCATGTGTTTCATTTTTTACGTTTCTTTCGATTCTATAATTTTTATTTTTAGTTTTTCCTTTTTTTGTTTTTTCGTTTGTTTCTTCGATTTTACCAACGGTAAAATATCACAATTTGCCGTTTTTTTTAATTTTTTTCTTATGAGAAATTTCAATGTTGCGCTTTCGTGATTTTTCATTTATTTTTTTCAATTTTTCAACTTCTCGATTTTTATTATTATTCAATTTTCCGATTAGTTTAGTTTTCAATATTTCGATTTTACAATCGTTTTTTTTTTCTTTTTAAATTTCTCAGTTTTTAAATTTTCGGTTTTTCAGTTTTTTGTTTCTTCAATTTTCAAGTTCTTGGTTTCCAGTTTTTAGATTTTTCAAAGTTTTCGTTTTATATTTTTTCATCTTTTAATTTTTGATTTTTCAATTTTTTCAATTTTGCAAAGTTTTTTTTAATCGAAAAATTGAAAAACCGAAAAATTAAAATCGAATAGTTAAAATTCGAAACATCTACAAATCAGAAAACGAAAAAATTGAATAAACGAAAAAGTTCCAAAAACCGATAACTGAAAAATGGAAAAAATAATTAGTATTAGATACATATTTAAAACGAAAACTAGAGAAATTGCAAATCGAAAACTGAAGAAACGAAAAATTAAAAATTTTAAAAGTTGAAGAATTGAAAAATCCAAAAATTGAAAAATGAAGTTTTCGGGTCATCCAAACGTCCAGAAAACATGAGAGCAGCCAGTCGTCCGACTCGCTTACAATACTTCCTTAGCTTACGACTGGGACGTAGGTGAACCTCGTCAAGTTTAGAACTGTTAGTTAAAAACCCATTGTAAGACTAGTAATAAGTATATGAAAGTGAAGCAAACCCAGGTGACATTTTGGAGCGCCAAAGGTTAAAGAGCCATCATAAACCCGAAAATCTTTGCGTCATGCGAGCATGTCGTAAATGAGAAATTTCGGCGTCGGCCGAATTGAAAGCAAATGCATGCATAATGAATTCGGGGAAAAAACGTATTTGTGATCCGTAGCGTCTTGGTGCGGTCCCTTGACAAAAGAGTTGGAATCATAAAGCTCCGGTAGGGGAATCGAGCGACTTGCCATTGTTAATTTATGTCGTGGGGCGGCACGCTCCCCACGCGCCGCCCCCGGCTTATGCACACAGTATTTTCGGCGATTCCGTTGTAAACAAGCGTCCGATCTTTCAGATCGTCAAATTAAAAGCGTGTATTAATCCCTCAATCCGCATCCCATTATGAGTAAATCGAGCCATCAATAATCCCCCATGATGTCGATATGGCGAATAAAAAGTCAATCAATAACCGTTCTCGCATCCTTCGCTAACACGAACATAATGAACTATAAAACAGTCCTGCGGCTCAAATAAACTAAAATATAAAAACGGCAATATGTCTCTGCCTATATTGATACTATAGGAATCATCGTAAAGCTCGAATGGCCTTATTCACTTTAACAATATGAGAAAGGGGAACAAACGACGGCAAAGAGTGCTCGGGGTGACGAGGTCGCACTAAAAGGGAGACGGAACACGTAGGACGACAGCTGTAGGGGAGGGGTGTGGGGCAGTCATGCCTTGGGGTTGTTAATGTTGTAATCGAGATCCAAGGGTGTGATTGCACGTGTCGACCGCCGCTCGAGGCTCGGCGAGGAAAGGGGATATTACGATCTGTCACTTGTCCAACCCTCCGAGGGCTAATTTGATCCCGAATTCAGGATAGCCTTTGTGTACATAATAGTTTCAAACCAGTGTAAATATTAGAGCTTCTCTTAGCTACCGTCTCACGGCATCCGTCCACCGCACAAATTCTCCAGCTTTTTTCGACAGCTGAATTAATTATGCGGATGGGAGCTTTCAATATACGCGAAATCCGCTAGGGTGCCGAGGAAGCCGTTACCTCGAATAGGAAATAAGTGAGGACGAATGGTGGGTCGGTAAATTGTTTCAAGTCAATCGACGGTGTCACCGATCATGCAGGCCTCGAGGGGAGAAACCGGGGGATACTTCAATAAGGGGTGACAAATCACTGTCGGGATTACAAGCGAACGCGCTCCCAAGATTAAGCCCCCAGTCATTCAAGAAGATTACGACGGCGGTGGAACATCCAATAAAGATTGTTACTTTAAAATCTTCGCATTACTTAGCACGTTCGAGGATTTTGACCCCGCTTTTGGTACCGTCCGTACCCCCCAATTTAAAATTAACCAATAAACCCGCCGATTGGCCGGTAACGATTTGGCGCCGTTTTATCGTCCAATAAAAACTCGGCGTAAAAACGGCGCGACGTTCGGTATCGGCGCGCGCTAAAAACAAAAACGGAGCCAATAAATAAATAAAAGCTCTCGCGCTCGGATCCACCTGTATAATGCAAAAAGCTCAACAAAAAGCGTAATATAATGAAATTACGTATTCAATTGGTACTCACGTGACGCTCTTCTGCGGAGTTGATACCTGCAGGAACCATGGCAACAGCAAGCAGCGTCCAATCGGCAGCAACATGGAACAATCGAGACGAAAACAATTGAGATAAAATGTACAGAACGTGTCGGTGTTTTTATAGCGCGGTGCATCTGCGAGCTTGTCGGATCTATGCTTTTGTGATTTGTACAAAAAGTACGTGACATGGAAAATGCATGGGAGATTCTTTTATTTGCGCTGCGGATGCGGCGAAAATAGACGGGAAACTTTACAAATTAAAATGCATTAAGCTCGCCGCTATGAATAATATATAAACCTAAGTGCTCGATGTGCTACTCTTTCGAGGCTCGTAAAGGCTCCTCTGCATCGTTTTGGTTATTGCGCGATCATCTATTATGGATTCGACGTAATGGCCATGCACTTTTTCGCAGTGATGGATTTTTTGCCAAGCGGATCGAAGGGCGTCCTGAAACGGCGTTGGGACGGAACACACTAGAGTGATAAATTTCAATGGTATAATTAGTGGGTGTTTTGAATCAGCGACAAAGCAAAGATCGAGTCCGCCGGTTCGCCGAGTCGTGGCCTGTGTATTTCAAACGAAACCGGGTGCCGTCAAGCGATTACTTACAGTCGAATCGGAATCACTTCTATAAAATGCTTTCGAGCACTGAACAAACAAGCCGAAGAGAAGCCCGCAAGTATCGAAGACGTTCGTCGACGTGGGCAGGTATCAAGATCAAAGGGTGCACTTTGTTCCGTAATTAGTGGAGCGAACAATGCATTCGCGCAGATAAGGACGTGGTAGGCACGAGTCCCGGCCGTCGACAAGCTCTTAACTTTATTAGAGAATAAAACATCAACAAGATTAAGCAAACGTCTTATTGCAAGAGTTGCACCTGCCATAATGAAGATGTAGATTAAAACAAAGCTCCCAAGTCACAATCCAAATTAATTAGTAGTTGTGCAGTTACAAAGCTGCCGTAACTTAATTCTCAATTAGGAGCCGGTTACGCCCGGCGAATCTATGAGCGAATGAACTCCGTCTTTATACGGGCGAGGGAAAATAAGGTGTACGTCTGCACCCTCGCATTTCATGATTATTCTTCGAAAGCGGTGCATTGGGGTGGAATGAGACGCTCCTTACAATATCTGGTTGGCATGACAACACCGGCGGATCTCTTTTCGCTTGCTTGCTTCCACCACATCGTTCGCGGATGCAGTTCGGATTTTACTTTTTGCGAAGGAATTTTTGAGCGGAGATCAGAAGCGTTTATTGTTGCTCCGAAACGGGGATGTGTGGACGATAAACACCGATCCGGACGATTTAGATAAGGGAGACCCATAAAACTTTCAAATAAAGGATTTCGTTTACAAGGGCGATTTCGCCGCGAAATTACTCAACTCGCTCCGAGGCAATCCATTATTACATAAACGGGAAACTTGAAAACCAAGAAAACTGCTGTTATTGTCGACGGAATGGATCCCCGGGAACTTCCAATTGAAACGCCGCTAATGGCCCACAATGACGATAAAAATATCACTCGTGAAAAAGCCAACGTCAACGACGCCGTCATCAAACGACAGCGCCAGAACGCGGCCCTTCAGATAAACATAACAAAAAGACACAAGGGACACCACTCGGGCGTCCCTACCTTCACTCACTATCTTTGCGAGCATCGTCGTTTGATAGATCCTACGACAATTTCGAAGCCTTTGTGCCACCCAAAGACCCGAACCACTCTATTAACCCATATAAGCTTGACCCAGAAAGATCTCCGTTTAAAGACCATCTATCATCAACTAATTGCATTTCCAAATCATCTACCTCTGCCGTTGGAATCGGGCCGAAAACCTTCGCAGTCCCGCCCTGCCTAAATGGGTCCTTACAATCTGCTTGTTCATAGCTTAGAGAGTCTTTGCGCCGCTATTCAGGCCGCAAGGCGAAGATTGAATGGGACTCACGAAGATCTGCAGAACCGCCCCTCGTGACATAAAAAAGGTCTTTTCTATCTCGTTCCGTCGCACTCCAGTTCGTTCGGTCGGCGCTCCTCCACAATCCCCTTCAAAGCAAAGAAGAGTTGAAGAACTCGTTGGAGTGTCGGTAATAGAGGACTCTGCCTAACTACCGTACACAAACGTTCCAAAGACGGCGCCTTTCAATGCAAATAAATTACTTCCATGCGAGCTCCGTATGCCCGATGACTTATCAGATTCTTTGATCTCGCCAGGATGGAGGAAGGAAATCCTTTAAAATGTAAATTCGGAAAGTTTCCCCTGTCTTACTTTGAATCTTATTTATTAAATTTGGAGACCGGATGGGTTGAGGGTTTAACCGCACGAGGCGAATTAGATGAAAAATAGAGCGAAGGGTTTTTTCGCGCGGTCAAAACGGAGATCTCCCCTTCGAAAGCGGTTAGGATTGATCGCGTTGTCGGCGATCTTGTTAAGTGATATTTTGGGAAGGCGGCGCGTAATTTCCTGGCTCGGGGTCGGAGGCTGTGTGCGAAAAGTTAAATATTTATCGACGCGAGTGTGGAAAAATATCTCGAACAAAGTAATAAAACATCAATAATATTTACCGCCACTCAACATCGCAACAAAATCCGGAATCCAATTTCATTTTCCGCCCTCGCTAAAAACTCCGCCGTCAACCCTTATCCCATAATATATTCCGTCTGATTTGGGGTTGTCGGTATAAAACCACCCGTTCGTAACCCGAGATGGAAATTCTAAAAATAATGCAAAATGCTCCTCGTTTCGCATCCGAAATCTGTAGTGGAAACAGAGAAAGAGAGGGAATAAGCTCGAACGAGCGGAATTTATAGACACATTAGGTAACTTCAGAGCCTGATTTGGAAGCACATAAATTCCCCACACAAAATTAAACTTTTTCACTTCTTCACGTTCCCGAAGGACTCATTCATAAATCATGTACGAGAAATATCGGTATTTTACACGATACTCTTATTAGTTTCCGTTCTTTGCGACGCGGACATTTTATTTATTATGAGCTTTGAATGCTTCCTGTTTATGCAAGCTCTCGACGACGCTTCCGTTCGATAATAAAACACCGCAATGACTTATCTAATGGGCTTAAAAGGGGCTCGACGACGCAAGAGATGAGCAAGATCCCCGGAAACTTATTAAAATAAACTGCCAGCCTAAAAGCTGACGGCAATATTGAACCAAAGGGTGAAACTTAAATAAGGAAATATGACGATAATAACGATCATTAGCTTGATAAATATTTAGCATGCAAACATGACCAGCCAAGGAAGCAATTATTAATTTCCTAGCTTAATAACCTCTTTATTTGCCTTCCGATTTTAATTCGGCTTTTACTGCAAGCCGACTCCGATTCACGGCGCACGGCCATGTCCCAATCAGCGCCATTCAGACACCAGACCGTTCCCAGGCAGCCTTCAATCAGAGACCTTTAATTACAACCCTTCAGCAACATTATTCCGGCTGTATAACGCCTAAGTAGTGCGATAAAGAATCTTATAAAGCTCAACTAAACGGACGCCGAATATACCGTCGCGTAAACGACAATATACGGACGCGAGATGGCTGCACCGTGAACGAAGATAATATACACCTAATATCTCGGTTGGAATGCCGGGAGTATTTTGCGGGAATGTCGGAGGGAAAAATTAAAAGCGCCCCTCGTGGCGGGAGTCAGACGAAAAAAGAGAAGTGCCGCTATCGATCGCCTCAATAAGAGAGACACGAGGAGTTAAAGAACACCCCAACATATTTGCTGAGTCGCGCCACCAAGTAGCCTTGTTGAGGATGAAATTAAAATCTCAAGAGCGGCGGAACATCAAGTGGGCGAGATGGGGAGTACTCTGTAGGGTATTTCCATGAAGCATTTGAAAGCGAGTGGAGCGGTAGTCATTCCCTCATATCTAATTACGGCGCCGTTGGAACGGACTTGTAAAATAATGGAAAGCGACACCCCGTTGCGATATAAAACATTTTTATTGGTCCTTTCTATTCGTTTATTCTTTAATAAGATTGCGAGGGGTTTATTACATTTTAATAATAACGCAATTAAACGAAAGCTGTTTAAGGAAGTCATAAACTAGTCGACTATATGGATTTTATAACACGCCATTATCTTATTAATGACGAAAATAAATTACACCGAGATTTATTGAGACATAAAAGTATCGTCGAACAAAGACGGAATGGACACGCTACAAATTTTAACGAGCCCGTGAAAAAAAAAATCCAAAGTGACCCAGTTCTCATTTTTTCGGTCCGTTTTCGCAACTTTACAACGATACAGAAGAGCACTTTATCAGCCCCCATTGAAACTTTTCACGCGCAGCTTCAAAGACCTACATCATTAAAAACTCAAAGCCCGGGTCCCGCCCCCGCAAGACGTGCATCCATTAATCCCGGCAGCAAAGTAGCGATTTCGGGATGTACCCGAGTACGTAACACGATTTGTATCGCATGATAAATCATATTTACGACGAACCAGATCAATATAGTCAGAGCGGTCGACACAAAGCCGACGCTCCAGAAAAAGAAACGAAACACATTTCAATATATCTCTTTCCGTGATAAACGTTCCGGTCTTGTTTTATTACTTAAACTGTGGTTCACAGACCATAAAACCCGCTCGAATTTGTAAGAATACAGTCGCTCGCAGACGACTACCACCGACTAGTACTCGATTTGAATAATTTTATGCTCGATGGAAAAGCCCTAATATAGTTTGCGTACTAACCGCTGTTCGATTTTACGTCATCGGGCCGATGTAGGTCGGGCTTCGAGGCCAAGATCGACAGCGGGTGCTGGCCGGGGGCGCCGAGGGCCCCGCTGAGCCCCAGGAGGCTGGCCGCCGTGCTGGGGGGCGCCCCCGCCAGCCCGGGGTGAGGCATCATCGGGATCGGGGGGGCGGCGTGGGCGGGCAGCTGCTGAGCGTGCATCTGCTGCAGCAGACGGGGGAGGTCCGGCCTCTGTTGCTGAAACAAAAAACCAACTTAGAACAGACAAAACACGGATTTTCGCGGGAGGTCTGCGACGGACAGTTGAGACGGCATAGGGTTGGTAATAGAGCGAATAGGTTTGAGGGACCCTGCAGGTGCAGCTAACGCAGTTAAACCAAGTTGCGAAGGCGGGAACACCTGAAGGAATCGCCCTTGATGGGGATGTCCGCAGATCCAAATGCTAAAAACTGGTTAGGCAACTAATGTAACTAATTATGTCGATTCGGACGAGCACAAGGTAGCACAGGTAAGAGGTGGAAATGGTGTAGGCGGGACAAAGCGGAGGAATATTTGATGTGACGAGTAGATTAAATAACGAGTCGGAATGAAAGCTAACTATGTAAGTTTGGGTGGAAGTTTTTAATAGTTGGAGTGGCTGGTACGTCTGCCGGCTATAATTTCGCAAATCTTTTGACTCCAGTTATTAACTTGTGTAATGAAAGCGCCTTTTAAAATCTCGAACTCATTAGCAACTCATAAAGTTGGTCGCGATCGCGTTTCAATGGAATTATTTTTGCAAAAGGCGAGATGAAAGAAGCGCAAACCGTCTTAGCGCGCTCGTCAAACGTGAGAGACAACAGATTTCCGGCGAATTTCTGGAATATAATTAATTATAAGCATCTTCCCGGAGCCTAGAAGGGAAAACTGTCTGAAATAACGGTTAAAATCAAAGTAAGTAATTTGTGATTAATAAGATCCTTCAGATTTATATTTAATTGGCGGTATTATTTAGCTCCCCATCGTATCCATTAATTATTTAGCAGTAATTAGAAAGGCATCTCGCGAGAGGGTGACGTCGCCTAATACCGTAATCCGTCTCGTCGGCGCTGAGCTCAAGGGGGTGAAGTACCCGTGAGCTGCAAATGTAGTGTAAACACAGCTTCAACTTTAAATTGAGCAGAATGGATCCGAGACACGTGACAAGAAGTTATATTTTTATCGGGGGAGAAAAGCGCCCGACCAAATACTTTCTCCGCACTCTTTTCTGCCCACAAGCAATCCACTTATCTGGCTCGCTGCAGCAGCCATTATTTAAAATTCGCATTGCTGAGAGCTTGCAAATTGATTTCTTTGGCACCCTCTTTCCTCTTCGCTCCGAGGCGGTTGCGCCGGTTGGGGCTGATGGATTTCATTATAATTACATTTTTCCAGCGCTGAGCTGATGTTTAATTAACTGAAAAAAGTTCTTTTTAACGCCGTTCTTAATCACGTTATGATATGGAGGCCATGAATAAATAACGACGCCAGCCGCTTTCTGATTTTAAAAGGAACGCAAAACCGCAAAATTATTGCGGTTGCTGCCGACAAGAACATTCACTAGCGCCCTGCCCGGCGCATCCGCCATTTTACTTTATGGTTTCACTAACTCCCACCAACAAAAAACAGAGTTATCTTCACCTTGTCTAGATATCTTACTTTAGAAAAGCGACAAAACATTCCCTCGCTGTTGTACAGTTCCCGACGGTTCAAGAAACTCGGATCTGCGGCTACGAGAAATCGACCTCGTTTCTATGAATCAGGCGCGGATCCAAGGGAGGGGCAATGGGTGCAATTGCCCCCCCCCCCCCTCCTCATACACGACCGAGGTACTTTATTATGACCAATTTCAAAATTTTGCAATCGTATTTCATTTTGTAAATACAGTACAACCTCTATAATCCGAATTCACGATTATCCGAACATTCAGTAATCCGAACAGAGGCTATTTGAAGTCGATGCTTCTTTAATCCGAACTGAACTTTGAAAGACGCACCTACTTGCAAAAATGACGCAAGATTTTTTTTGCATATGTTTTATGGAATATTTTGAAATTTTTAAAAATTGTGATATTTCAATGCACTGAATTAATTAACTAATTTTGGAAAAAAGCTTGACGTTATCGAAGAAATGAGGCCCGAAATCTACAAGAACAAATATTTAGTTAAATTTCGAAAATCGTCAAAAATAAGTCGAAATTTACATGAGGAAAATTTCATTTTTGAAAAAGTTTCCTAAAAATTCTGACAACATTTTAAGGGATATATGTATATCCCGACGTACTGATTCCAAAAATATAGCATGTTAATTGTAACCGAGCAATATTTTCGAAAAATTCGGTGTGAAATTCGAATTTTTCGAAATTTTTAAAAATTTCGATATTTCAACTGGACGAATCTGGAAAAATGGTTTAAGTTATCGAAGAAATAAAGCCAGAAATGACTTCTGAGGCTCAAAATCCACAAGAAAATGTATTTAGTTAAATCTCGAAAATTGTCGAGAATGGGTCGAAATTTGCATAATGGAAAATTTAATTTTTGAAAAATTCATCTAAAAATTCTGAAAAAATTCAGGGGATAGATCCCGGCGTGTTGACTCCAAAAAGAGCGTGTTTATTGTCAATATTTAGTAATATTTTTTTAGAATGTATCTATTATCCATTGTTGCTTAAGAATTCTTTAATTTTGTTTAATGAATTTAAGGTTTATTTTTTGAAGTTTGTTTTCAACTGTGTATGAAGTTGTTATTCAATCCCTTCCAGATTTTTGGGAAAATCGCTGATCCGAACAAATCGTTAATCCAAACACACCTTTTTCCCCATTAATTCCGATTATTGAGGTTTTACTGTACACTATACGGGTAACGAAAAGAACCAAATGTCACCCATGTTATGTAAAAAAGAGTATACTAGCTAAAATTTTATAATTTTTTTTGTTTAGAACGAATTTCTGGGAGATAGGTAAAATCGCACAAAACTTGCCCTCCCCTAAACGAAATTCTGTATCCGCGCCTGCTATGAATGCGCAGAAAAAAATCAAGCCGGATTCATAACCCACAAATATATTATTATCTCTACATTTAGTATTTGATGTGATACGAATAGTTGGGCAATAAATTTCGCTACTATTATAATGTAGGTGTTGCGTTCCCGGCGCCTCCGCCATTTCTGGTCGTAACTCTCGACAGGTGCTTGGCATTTTCAATGCGAAACCCGATGTAAGAAAGATGTATTTTTACGAGTGGCGGTCCTTTTCGCGTTTCGGATGCGCCTATAATGGATTTGCGATCGAAGAAGCTATTAAGTTTTCGATTGCGATGTAATATTGCAGGCTAACATCTCTGTTTTGAGGTATCGTTCGATGCGTATGTGCATGAAAGGAATAAGACGTCAATAAAGCTTCGCCATAATGCGGGGATAAACATTTCATTTCATTTTCGTAGTATGTCAAAGGATCTGCTAAGTCGGCACACACGCGGATGTGACATTCAGAGGGGATCAGAAATCGGCTTATCTGCTCACTCGACTTTGCGGGTGACTGCGCTTGAAATCTGGCGGATAAAGCGGTTAGAGTCACGTAAGGAAAGACCGCCGAAAAACTCTCCTCACATTGGAAAATTTCCACGTGAGCGGTGACCAATTAATCACGCCGCCGACGCAAGAAAAAACAATTAGGAGCGCGAAGTATATCCGATCCAATTATAAAAACTAAGGGTTGATTGATCGTAAACGGAAGGAGCGGTAGTTACGAAGTCGTCGTAAAACAAAAGCGCCGATTTGAATCTTCAAAACGTACCGATGTAAAGTAGCTCGGGAAGCGGGATTGCGAGGGATGAGGGTGGCGCGGGGGCGGGCGAGGCCTTCGCCTTTTTATAAACCCCATAGCACGCAGCGCTGCATGAATAACAAAAGATCTCTTCGGGGAGCCGACAATCCGCTTCCAGAGTTTTCTGCAAATTTTAAACGTAAGAACACTCCAACTAAATTTCGCTTGCGGGCACTTCTAATACTAATCTCCGGCCTCATTACCATTCCACCGGACGACTCGCATTTTTATGCAGAGTGCACCCGCCGCCCTCGAACCCACGCTGATTAGAGCGGCGAGAGTGGCAGGAATAATCCGGCTAAAACGCCCACGCAGGGATTTACGAGGAGCCCTCAAAAGCTGACCATCGCTCACTAAAACGGGACACCACTCCTGGATTCAAATCGCGCGCTCTAACTGAAATAAAGCTCCGAACATGTTGTAAACATTATTATTATCATCGTCTCGGGCGTCGATATTGATTATCAGTTTTCTCGTGGGGAGACGCTCCAAAATTTGAGGGAGCTGTATTGGGGTCGCTCATAATTCTTCTAGACCCTCTTCAGGCGAAAGCCCCACTCGGCGGCTGCGAAGCATCTTATTCAATAAATCCCCTTCTGTCGGCATCGTTTTTAAGAATGGCTATCGGTCAATTGGCGCCATTTCCCCCGAAAATTAAATATTTGCCGTAGGTCGTCAGCACGCAAGCGTCGCGTTCTAGAAATGCAAATAGGCGGGATTTGCTCGTCGAATGCGACCTGTGAAATGCAAATATAAATATTTCATGCACGTTTGCGGTGCAAACCTTATGATAAGACGGAAAAGAAGAAAGGAAGTGGATTGTCGGGAGTGAAATGCTAGCACGGACCAGTGGCACAAGCGCTCCGTGGTAAAGTAAGTGGATGTGAGCATCTCCCTCAGCTCAACTGTTCCTATGCGACTCATCCTCCCTAAGCTCTGATTCCGTATTCAGGACGCACATTCCAAATTGTTTTACCCCTCCGACTCCGGAGATTGGACAAGAAAATTGGACAGGCATTGTAAAATATTTGTGAAGTAACTTTGGTTTGATTAACCCGCTCTATTTACTTCGCATATCTTATAACTTGTTCCGCTTCCTCGGGCATTCCTTCGGCTCGGGGACGATAATGGCGACGCCGATACGTGGATTAAGGGATAAGACCGGAGTAATTGGAAACGAGGAATTCCCGACTTGGGGAAGAGTTAAATCGCCCCGATTCCTCATTTTTGAACTGAGAGGTTTGAGCGCCGAACTTAACAACTTTTGTAGCCGCTCATACACAAGTACATAAGTGCATTTTTACCATCTATAAGACATTCGTAACATACGTTTAAAATTTGACAACAATCGGACCAGTATTTATCAGTCTAATAAAAATCGGCACAGACGACAAC